GCGGCGGGGGGCCGTCCGGAGGCCGGGCCCTCTCGGCTTCCCGGGGCGTCGGGAGGTGCGAGCGCTCCCGTCCGTCCCGAGCGGATTTCCCATAAACGTTCCCTGGTTACGGAACGAGGAACTCGGAAGCCGCTTCCTCGGGTCGGTTTCCTTCCGCCTTAGGGCGATTGAAGAGCCCGGTTCGTCCCCCGTAGCGCCGTAGGCAGGGCGCGTCTTAGAGCCGCCGGGGCAGCGTGCGTGAAGACCGCGGCCGGGGTCCCGCAGGAGGGATCGGGTCTCCTCCTTCCCTTACAGCCCTGCCGAAGGACGGCGATGGCTCCCCGGGCTCCGTGGGCTCTTTGCAACAAGTCTGAAAGTCGTAACTTCCTTTTCTTAAGGCGAGAAGAACTCCCGGCCACGCTTAAGCAGCCAAATGTTGCCCCAAGGGTTTCGGGTCTGGTCCAGAGCGCTTTGTTGCTCTGGTTGTCCCAGTGTTCTTCCAGCGCGGGTGCTCTTGTCCCGGAACTGCTGAGCAGAGGCGGTTTCATTGTAGGTTCTGCTACAGGGACGAGTGGCGATTCGTACGGATGGGTCCTGCTGTTGGCGGTGTCTGTGGCTGCAGCGCCGGGGTCACCGCACCGACGGCGGTTGCGGCCAGGCTGGAGCCTGTAACTCATTTGCATCCTGGGTGTAGGACTGCGAGAGTTTTTTAAATTTCTGAAATTGTGAGCGTATGGAACTGTCTGCTCACGCCTTTGGTTTTGCTCTTGACAGTTAACGCCTTGTAGGTGAACGGCAGCCCAGGGTTATGTTACGAGAAAAAAAAGAAACAAAAAAAACCCACAAAAGCCCTACATCTCCAAACGGCCGAGTCCCCGAAAGGCAGCAGGCTGTTTCCAGACTCCTCCATCCCCAGGGCCGTGAGCCAGTGGCAGGGATCAGGCGAGATGAGAGCTCTCTGGGACGCTCTTACAAAGCGACGGGTGCAGCGGCGCTCTCTGGACGTCCCCTTGCCTCCGAGCTCCCGGGCGGTGTCAGAGGGCTGCGCTCGGCCTCGGGAAGCGTCAGGGAGTTACCAGCTCCTCCTTTGCTGCTGATGTGCGCCCCCTCCCCTGCCGCTGCCCCGGGAACCACCCGAGCCCGGTTTATTTCCGATCCGGCCGCCCAAGCTGCCGTTGTACGTGTGGAGCAGCAGCGCAGCTTGAGCCGGTTTAAGCAGTTCTGGCTCCCTGTCCTTACAGCGTAGCAGCGTTTGTAGCTGCATAATGAACCTGATCAGCAAACTGATCTGGCTGGAAAATAGCCCTGCAGAAACGGTTATTAACTGGATCAAATTCCATCCGAGTTTGCTGTGTGGCCGCACAGGCTTTCCTTTGCGCCACGGGGGAAGGAGGAAGGGTGGGGACCTCTCGAATTGGCACTGCTGCCTATCCACGGCTGCGCTGTGGCCTAATGGACATCCGAAGCAAATGAGCTCATCTGAAGAGACTCTGACTAACTCTGGCTTCACTAGTGCCGTGGGATCTTGATCCCGGGGTACGAAGAAGTCGCTGTTTACCGCTGTCTGCCTGAAAACAAACAGGGTTATGTTCCTAGCAGTTTTTCTGTCTGGCAGAAGGTGGGGCTCTTGCATTCACTGCTGCTAGCTCTTCAGCCCTGCGCAAAAAACGCTGAGAGAATTCAGGAGAAACTGATGACTTGAGGAAGCAGTGAAGGCAGCTGAGTGCGAATTCCCAGGAGGGAAGCGATTCAGCCTCCTCCTGCCTTCTGCAGGCTTCTGTGATCTGCAAGGATCTGAGAAGAGCCCAGGGCTGTTTCCTCAGACGTCTCCCCACGGCCGAGGAGCCCACCTCCTGTAATTTGCTTTCAGGCTGAGTGTGGGCTGGTTGTCCCCTTCCCTGCCAGCTGTGGCAGAGTCACAGCGGGTCTGTGCTGTCTCGCAGAGCAGCAGGCTTCCCGGGAGCCGCGGAGGCACCAACTCCAGCGTTCTGCGACTCGGCTGAGCCTCAGGAGCCAGAAAGCCGTCACGCGGAGGTGCTGAGCAGGGCACCCGAGCATCCTGAGTGTCAGAAGGAGCTGAAGAGGAATTTCCTTCCAAACACCTCAGAGCAATGCCTGAGCTTCGAGGTGTTGAGCTCCCGTAAGGCACCCGCACCCGGCTGCCACTCAGCAGCGTAGCGGGACAGCTCTCGTTAAGGAGCTGAGCCCTTTGAAGGACCGCGTTGCGGGTCCCCTTTCCGCTGCGTGTCAGCGCGCACTTGCTGGAGGTCTCGGCACGATGCAGACGGGATACGCGAGTGCAGTTCTCTCCTGGCAGTTCACATGCGATCGAGTCCCTTGGCTTCGCTTTGTCTGGCAGCATGATGGCTGGTCTTCCGCACACCTGGAAAAGCTCTGGTTTACTAATCCTGAGCTGTAATAAATGCTTTGTCTGAGAAGCCTGACGGGCAAGGTTGAGGCCCTCATAAAAGTTTTGATGCGATTAGGAGTCTCCCCTGGCTGCGTATTTGGAGAAGCAGCCGAGTTGCTGTGACCCGTGGTGATGAGATGCAGCGCTCTGTGCGGGAGGGGGCGGCCGGCTGGGTCGCAGGATGCCTCTTGACCCTCGCGTCCAGCCGGGGCGCAGGAGCCCGATCCTCTCGGGAGTGCTGCGGCAGCGGCGTTGGCACAGCCTGGTCAGGGATGTTCTTCTGACCGCTGCTCCTGGGGAAGGCTGTCGGAGGAGGTGAAGAGTCTCCAAGACTTCCTCAGAGAGCTGAACCCTGGCCTGACCTCAGCTGCTGGCTGGAACAGTGCTTTGTGTTGGTCTGAGGAGCCGGTTTCTGTCTCTGGTGGGCTGCCATCGTTTCAGAGATCCTGTGAGGACTGGGGTGGTTCTTGATTAATCCCTGTGGTGGTGTGCATGATTGTTGCTTTAGCTCTGGATCACAGGATTAAGGCTAGCGGCGTAGGAATGCAACTGAAGAGCTGGGGAGTTGGTTTTTTGGTTGTGTTTTGGTTTTTTTTTTCCTGTGCCCCCTACGGCATGGTTGTTGCTAAATACCTGTTTGTGGGAGGGGTTACCCTAACGGGGCTGATGAAGATTGGGTGCTGGTGATGTGTGGGAGAAAACCGTTGCCCCGTCTGTTACATCTGGAGGTTGGTTATCAATGAGTGGTAGCTCTGCACTTGGGTGAGACCAAACTCATGCATTTCTTAACTGATCAGGATAGGATACACGATCCTGGAAATCAGCTGCTATTTCAGCTGATAGAAATTAGGACTGTTTAACGCTAAGGCTGTTCCTGCACGGAGTGCAGCAACCTTCCAGACCTGACCCTGCTGTTG